CATTATGGGGTGAGTCGATTAAAACTCGTGGCTTTGCACAAACCCTTTTCAAAGTGTGTTGTGAGGATTTTGAAAGTGAAAGTTTTTCAAAACTTTGTTTAACTGTGTTGAATAGTCGATTACATGCAACCTGCATTCGACTAAGTCGTTACAGTTTTGAAATTCTATTAATGCTTGAATTAAATGTTACAATGACTATATTTCTAAATAGGTTTAATACCTCTTTTGGTCCCTCGAAAGGGGCCAAATGTTCAATTGTGTCCTACGTTTTTTTAGAAGTTCAATGTGGTCCCAACTTTTGTAAAAAGTGTGCAATTAAATCCTTTTTGGTAACGGCGTTAATTTTTTAACGGTTCAGCTGACAGGGTGGACTGAAGTTTGCTACGTGGCTGTGTGAGGGTAATATGTGGCTGTGTGAGGGTAATACGTGGCTGTGAGAGGGTAAACGTGTATATTACTGTGGTTAAGAAATCAGAGGTTAGGGTTTGAGTTGCAGAGAAATTGGTCTTTGAGATACGAATGGCTTCTTCCGAAGGGTGTTCGTCGTATTCGAAAAGTTGGGGCAAAGGATCTTCTCGGTGGTCCCATGGTTGTGGTGTGAGAGGAGGTGTGATAATCCCTACTTGTTATTGTGGTGATGTTGCTGTAACTAAAGTGGCGAGAACTACGAACAATGCTGGGAGAAATTTTTGGGGTTGACCCATGTGTGACCTCGTGATCTAATTCTGTCTGTATCTTTTTTGTGCCATTTCTGACATATATTTTTGGAAGAACCTATTCCATACTTTACCCAAGAAAAAACAAAACCTTTTTGTTCCCTCTTTGTATTTTAGGTAGAAAACCAAACAGAAACAACAGCAACTCAACGCACAGTGAACTCTAACCTTTCCAGAATTTAATTGGAGTTCAGGATAAAGTTTACCTCAATTAATTCATGAATTATTATTATGGCATTAAATTCATTATTTTTTTAATAATTAATTTAATCACGTGTAGGATTATCTCCGATTACTTAAAACAGTAAAAGTATTTATACAAACACTATATAAAAATATATTCATGTTTCACATTTTAATTCATTTTATATTATAAATAAACCCTTATAGCTAGTATAAATTAAACTAAACTTTTTTAATGGAACAGAGGTAATGGCCATTGAATCAACTCTCATTATTAGTAAACTGGGTCACTTCACTACATAGGATTTGTAATTCACATCGTTTACAAATGTAGCACATGTTTTTATTAAGATTTCTCTTTTCATCCATGCTACCACCTTTCAGAATGACGATATATAATGAAAACACAATTTTCTTTCTTTTTTCAAATTGGTTTTCAGAAGCAAATATTCTTTTTCTCGAATCGCCTGCTGGTGTTGGCTTCTCATACACAAATACCAGCTCTGATCTAAAACTTCAGGGGACAAAAGAACAGGTATAAGTAAATCTGAAGTGCTGTTGAATTTAAGGGGGTTTGTCACCATTTTCATAACCACTGTTATTCTATCCTAAGAATTTCAAATTTGTAACACAGCTCAGGATGCACTGATTTTCCTAATCAGATGGATGTCAAGGTTTCCACAGTATAAATATAGGGAGTTTTACATTGCTGGGGAGAGCTATGCAGGTACTTGAACTTGCAACTTTAAATTAATGTCTGAAAATCTTGATCTGACATTTGGTGTTAATATTTTATGCTTTAGGGCACTACGTCCCCCAGTTGGCTAAGAAAATCCATGACTATAATAAAAAGAATCCCCAAATTATTAATCTCAAAGGGTTCATCGTAAGTCAATTCTTTTTCACTCAATATATATGCTAAGGATCAAAATTACATCTTTCGTTTAGTAATACAATGCACTTTGCTTGTGATATGAAACTGTAGGTGGGAAATGCTGTGACTGATAGCTACAATGATGGGATTGGAACCATCACATATTGGTGGAGCCATTCTTTGATATCCGATCAGTCCTACAAATCCATCCTCAAGTACTGCAATTTCACTTCAGAAGAAACATCTAAAAAATGTGATGATGCTTATAGTTATGCAGTTAACTATGAATTTGGAAAAATAGATCAGTACAGCATCTATACCCCAACGTGCCCAACATCACAGAACAATACTGTCAAACACATACGATTCAAGAATCTTCATATGATTTCAGGATATGATCCGTGCACTGAAAATTATGCAGAGAAATACTATAACCTTTCGGAAGTGCAGAAAGCAATGCATGCAAATGTTACCGACATTCCTTACAAATGGACTGCTTGCAGGTATGGTTTTTTTACTAAGTTTTACTGTTATAGCAGAAACTAAATATTTTGCTTTTAATAAATTGAAATAAAAACTCAGTTCATCTAATTGTATGAATTTACAAGTTTCAATATGCCTTTGGTTTGTTGCACAGTGAAGTGCTCCTAAAGAATTGGAAGGATTCTGAAATTTCTGTGCTGCCTATATACAAAGAGTTAACTGCTGCAGGATTGAAAATATGGGTATTCAGGTACGGTTTTAAATCGTTTCTTTACAATATGGGTATTCAGGTACGGTTTTAAATCATATGTATATGCTTCAATATTGACTTCTTTAATTTTCAGCATCTCTCTCAACCACTGAGAAGATCCTTTGCCCCAACTTTTCGAACACGACGGACACCCTTCGGAAGAAGCCATTCGTATCTCAAAGACCAATTTCTCTGCAACTCAAACCCTAACCTTTGATTTCTTAACCACAGTAATATACACATGTTTACCCTCTCACAGCCACGTATTACCCTCACATAGCCACCTATTACCCTCACACAGCCACGTAGCAAACTTCAGTCCACCCTGTCAGCTGGCCCGTTAAAAAATTAACGCTGTTACCAAAAAGGATTTAATTGCACACTTTCTACAAAAGTTGGGACCACATTGAACTTCTAAAAAAGCGTAGGACACAATTGAACATTTGGCCCCTTTCGAGGGACCAAAAGAGGTATTAAACCTTCTAAATATGTTGACCAAGCATTACATGTGATTCGATTACATTAATTGTACATTCAATTAACTGCATTGATGATGCTAGCTGCTATAAAAGAATTGTTATATTTGGCTGCATTAGTAGCTAAGTCGATTAAAATGCGTCTGAATTGTGAAAATTTATAAATTGACGCGAACTTGATTTCTGTAAGAACTTTTGTGAATCTAATAGTTTGCGATATTTTATGCTGAAAGTGCATTCTTACAGAAAGAGAGAAAGAGCTCCAAGAAACAAGAAGTGACCATGGTGATCATCTACTTGTGGATGATTGAAGAGCAAGTTAACTACACGTACAAAGGCTGATCATATCTGCACATTGGGGGTAACTGAGAAATCAGAGGCTACAATCTTGTGAAGATTGGATTGAGGTTCCCTGTTGTGATTACAGGAAGAAGAGCGTGTTGCGTTCTTGACTTTAAGGGTGGCTCAAAGGCTTTTGACTGCAACATAGGGGATTGTTGTTGCTAGTCTATTTGTATATGCCTATATTTTGATTAGATGGTTAGAGAGGTGTTTTATAATTTTGACTTGAGGTCGCTATAAAAACCTTGTTGTGAAAACCTTGATCATTATAGTGCATTGGCTTCCTGTGGTTGGAAGGACACTGGATGTAGGCTTGGCCCAACCGGTATAAAAACTCAGCGTTTGATCTTTCTATCCCTACACTCTTTTATTCAGTCGACTTCATACTGTACTAAATCGATTTAATTTCCGCTACATAAACAAATCTTTTTCCTTGCGTTTCAAGAAAGCTTTTAAAGGCATCTACTTTGCGAAAAAGAATTAAAGAAAACATTGTTTTTACATTTCACCAATTCAGCTCCTTCTTGGTGTGAGAAATTAAGCCATTCTATTTTCAACAATTGGCACCAAAGCTGGTTTTCGTAATATATTTGAAAAACAAGTCGATTATATTTTTCCTTAAATCGACTGATCCTGAAAAATGGCTTTTAATTTTTAAACCTTTCGTGAAGGTGCATCCACAAATAGACCACCACTATTTGCTGGAGAAATCTATGCTTTCTGGAAAATTAAGATGCAAATTTCTTAAATCCATGGATAAAGGAGTTTGGGATGCAACTTTAAATGGTCCATTTGAGCCAACTCATGTTGTTAATGGAAAAACTACTTTGAAAAACTTTTCTGAGTGGACTCAAGATGAGAACCGAAGAGCTCAATATGATATTAAGGTGATACGCTGTCGTTGAAGCTATCAAATTAGTACTACTTTTCAAGGCAACTTCAGTATTCCCAAGTAGTATTTAAGAAAGTAGATAGGGTTAACGTAACCCTGAGTCGTCTCCCAAC